ACGGCAAAACTACAACTACGGGTACGTAAACAAAATTATGCCCGGAGGCTCCCCTCCCAACGCCGATGATTTACTCCCGCAAACTCGAGGCGGCCAACAAAATTTCTGTCGATCGCGACAGGGATGACAAGCCGTCATGTGAAATTCTCATTCTAATGGGGTTCCGACAGAGACATGAGTACTTTTTGGTGCTTGAAAAAATATTCATGAACTCCAGTTTGTCAGCGGCGAAACCGAAGGGGCTAGATGAAAGTGCACAACAAACAAAGCCGCCGGCGGGCATGAATCAATCTGGCATTTTGCATTATTACACACAAAACCCATAATTTTGAAACAGCAACCGATAGTAAAACAAGGATTTACATTACCAAGAAAAGACTGAAACTTAGGCTTACCATAATTTGATTGGGGATAACCCGTCCGCTCCACTCGAAATTGTTGTTTACCATTCCGCTACGCGAGTGAGTCACAAGTTGTCGCGAGAAGAAATCAGACACACGGGTGACCCGCGCACAGAGAACTGTCCAAAACACACTTCCCAGAACCTCTCTCTCTCTCTTAATTCATTTATTGAGAAAAAAATAGACTAGAGTGACAAACATACGGATCCTGTCCACTGTAGGACTGTGAAGGAGATACTAGTAACGTTAGTCTTTGAAGTTCGTTCACACATACGCAAGTTTTGTCGTCCCATATCCTTTGTCATCGTATCCTTTGACTTCCTATCCTCTCAGAAATGTACAATTTCATAGAAAACCTTGTCATCTGTCAACCATCAAAGACTGTAGAATTATCGTGTGGCCGCCAAAGACCTCTGATCCTTTGTGCACCTTCGATGGAACCATAGCCGGCAACTTTTTCCAAGGCTCCACAAAATCTCTCTTGTCGTGTAGGCTCGCTCATCATCTCCAGCAATCTCTCTGATTTTCAGGAACACGGGAGTGACGCCGCGTTGTGCTTTAGACGCCATGTTGAAGCTTGCTTGGGAAGACTTGTGTGTTTTTGCGTATCTTCGCTGTGGTACAGGATCAAGATTTCTTCACTGTGACCGATCTCACGTAGAATTAAATCAGCAGTTTTTTAACTGTACAATCGGGCATAAAAGTCGGTAGATGCGGGCTTTCAAGCCTTGAAATACGGGTATGAATACGGAGCAGAAACTCAGGGCGTGCCGTGGCTTGCCTGACCTCTGACCTCTCTGTAAGATGTAACATGTAATATTTTGAAAAAAGCCCGTCCATTTTTTCCTCCTGCTTTGCCTGTTTATGTTATAGGAGAGCTACGTGCCTCCAAGTCTTCACACCCTTGCCTGTTTGTAAATTCAGCACAGTGGTTAATGAGCCGTGTCTGTAAGATGTAACGTGTAATATTTGAAAAAAAAGCCCGTCCATTTTTCCTTTCTGCTTTGCCTGTTTATGTTATTCTCGGCTTTCACGTGACGTCACGGGGTTTGCGTAATACAGGCGGCCGCCATGTTGGTGTACCTCGGTGTAGTGCTATGCAGTGTCAAGACGTTGGCACCGAAAGGAAACAAGCCATTGACTGTAAGATCTGTAAGCAGCCTGGGCACACTATGTCCAGCTGCCAAGAACCACAGCGATGTTTTGACTGTGGATTACAAGGTCATAAGAGAGGCGACCCCTCCTGTCTACACATAGAGAGCTCGAGTGAGAAAGACGACCAGGTTTTTCACCCTCCCGATGCTACAAACAAACGCTCCACTGCTTCAAATGACGCAGGTACATCTGCCGATCCGTCTCCTTCACCAACTCAAGTCATCGACCAGTTCTTTACCCAGTATGTCACGAGAGAAGACCAGACCGCCTCAGAACAGGAGAACGCGAACACTTCCTCTACTTCCGTAAACGTCGCCATGACAACTGAAACTGAACCCGGTACCACGTGGGCTGAGGAATGTGTAACCCCTGACCCGGAACATTTCAAACACACTCGGGGTCCCATAGACCGTTTCCTGCGAAAAACACGTTCCACGACAACAACAAACAAGAAGAACACCCAGAAGAAGAGACAAACCTCAAGCCAAAAGCGACCTCGTGATAGCCCACCAGCAGCGATGTTGGAACCCTCGCGAAAACAGCAGCGGAACGGCCCACCCCTACTCGAACATGGCTCCGGCGGCGCAACCTAGGCTTTCCTGGTAAACCCCGGACTGTCTGCACGGACTGAACATAATGTTTACAGGCACTACGACCTTTCGGACTGACCTCATGTGCTATGGACTTGGCTGGGACTATGGACTTTTGATTTTAGACTTTACAAATGGCTGTGACGTAGTCAAGCCAACAAAAGGTACGGTCATGGATTTGAATGATGTATCATTACTATCACTAAATGTTCGTGGACTCCTCGAAAAAAAACAAGAGGAGGTCCTTATTATCCTATGTTAAAACCAAAAAGCTGATGTAGTTTTCTTTCAAGAAACGCATTTGACCTCAGAAACAAAAGACATTTTAACTAAAGAATGGCAAGGTCCTTGCTTTCAATCTTTTGGTTCCAGCTGTAACAGGGGGCTGGCAATATTGATTAAACCTACTGTTAAATTCACATTACTAGACTCTAAATCCATACAATTAACGAGACTGATTTGTGTTTAGTCAATATTTATGTCAATATATATTAAAAGAAAGATTTCCTTATAAAATTGTCTGATTGGTTAAATAGCTGTGACCCCACAAACTTAATTTGCGGTGGTGACATTAATTGTCTGCTTAATCCAGTAATTGGCAAAAAGGGGGGGGGGGGGGGAGATAGACACTGCAGAAAGATTTGCTAGATCCCTGAAAAAGCTATGCTCAAATCTAAAAATTATCGACGCTTATAGAGTAGTTAATCCCACCACTCGTCAATTCACTTGGCGTACTAACCTTCTTTAAAATGTGGCCTGTAGGCTAGACTACTGGTTTATACACAAAACCCTTGAAGAAAAAATATTAAATGTGACATGAGACCTGCTATACATACTGACCATCAAGCTATCTTCCTATAACTAAAATTCCAAAACTATACCAGAGGCCCCGGAATATTCAAACTTAATGTCCTTTTCTTAAAAGACAAGGAATACATAGAGAAAATCCATGATATAATACAACAAGAAACTACCAATAACACCTCATCAAAGAGAGATAAATTAGACATATGTATGATTAAAATTACTTCTCAAATTACTAATGAGTTCTCAAAAAGTATGGAGCAAAGAAAGCCAAAAAATAGTGAAAAAATAGAAATGTTGGAGAGAAAAGTTTGCTTACTTCAAGGTGTACTTGATAAAAACCCAACAAAAATGATATTCTCAGCTTCAATGAAGCAAAATCTGACCTAGAAAATCACTATAAGAACAAATCACATGGTGCATATATAAGAGCTAGAGCCAAATGGAGAGAAGAATGGGAAAAAACCTACAAAATACTTCTTAAATCTGGAGAAGAAAAAAGGAATTGATAAGGACATTGATTTTCTTTTTATAGGGGGAGAGAGTTCAGAAAAGATTCGATATTCTAAATGAATGCAGGGAATACTTTAAACAACTAAACCAAGAGATGTAAGTGAGATAGAAATGGAGCAATATCTACAAGCTACACAACTGGAAAATGTTTTGAACAAAACTGACAGAGAATTCTTAGATAAACCACTGACAAAAAAAGGATGTATGGAAGCCCTTTTCTCAATGAAAGACAATAAGAGCCCTGGCCTAAATGGCATTCCTGCTGAATTTTTCAAATTTTTTTAGCCTATCTTAGGTGACCTAGTTTTTTATGTTATCCAAGAAACCCTAAAGGAATAATGTCGGTGTCACAAAGACGTGCAGTATTAAGACTAATACACAAGAAAAATGAGCGTCATCACCTGGATAACTGGAGACCTATCAGTCTCCTAAACACAGAGTATAAAATATTCGCATTTGTGTTTGCTAACAGATTAAAGAGAGTTTTACACAGATTAATTGATAATGATCGAACCGCGTTTATTAAGGACATATATATTGGGCAAAACGTAGAACTAATTCACGATATCATAGAATATACTGCAGATCAAAACCTACCCGGGGCTGTAATATTTCTCGACTTCACTAAGGCCTTTGATTGTCTAAATAGAAAATTTATGTTGAAAGTATTCGAAAAATTTAATTTCGGACCCTTTTTCATTAACGCCATAAAGTGCATGTATAATAACATCAGTAGCACAATTTCCAATAGAGGTTTCCTATCTGATTTCTTTCCACTACAAAAATGTATCCGCCAAGGATGTCCTATATCAGCTCTCCTCTTTATACTCACTGTAGAAGTTATGGCTGTAAATATTAGACATTCACAAGATATAGAGGGAATTAAAGTTAAAACCAACCCAGATAATGAGGTAGAAATTAAAATTTCACAAGGGGCTGATGACACCACCTTACTTGTCTCGGATGACTTATCAATGGAAAATGCTTTTAACCGAGTACATGAATTCTGTAAGGTATCCAGCTTAAAACTTAACATGACTAATTCTGAGGGATAATGGATTGGAACTTACATGGATAGCCAAGACAAACGCCTTGGTATCTCTTACCTGCATACCTGCATACCGTCTTCGGGTAGGAAAGGCTCAAGCCTGTGTTGTCCCGATCTTCTCTCTATCCTTCGCTTGAGACGTGCATAATGTTTGCCCAGGTCTTATCCAGTCTTTTGTTGAATTCATTTACTGATTTCGAGTAATATAGAGTGCGTTTTCATGGTGCTACTATACTTAATGGTACCAGTATATAATTTCATGGCGACCCATCCTTAGGACATAGCTAGTAACATAGTTCTTTTTTGTTTGGGGGGGGGGGGGTAGTACATATAATGGGGGGGGGGGAAGGGACGCCAGCGCCTATTTCCCGTCGCGTTGTTGCCGTTCGTCGGAGAAAAAAATTGCTTTACCCACCTTGAACGGGCAAAAAGCGGCGACAAAATTTTTAAAGTGCATTGCAAGAAAGGGAAAGTTTTATTCCCACATAAAGCGGCAGCATGGCGGGCGGCACGCGAGATCAAAGGCTTGTTGATGTCAAACAACTACAAGCCAAATCCCGGATTGTCACACCTCTGCGGTGTGCTCGAATTGGTCCAATATACCAGTGTACCACGTGATTGGTAAAAATCTTATACCATCATTGGGTGAAATGAAGCTGCTACATTACAGTGTTCGTTCTGAAGGAAGAAATGGAGGTCATTGAGACCTTTATTTACATAGTGGGTCCAGTGCATGTCACAACAATAGAATAGTTTACAAATAAACGAACGCACTTAGGAATAAAAAGCTGCTAAAGGTCACCTATGTCTAAAACCAAAGAAGTATCTAAAGTACTAGTCGATAAAGTGTTTTGGGGAGGTAACACGGCGATTTGTTCATTGCTCTTGTGTTTTTCTAGTTAGATTTTTTAAAGCAAAACCACGTGCCCCCAGTTAGGAATCACCAGACCTTAGCCAGTTTGAAAATTCAGCACAGTTTCCCGTGTCTGTAAGATGTAAGGTGTAATATTTGAAAAAGCCCGTCCTTTTTTTTCTTCCTGCTTTGCAGTAGAGCCACGTGCCTCCAATTAGGAATTATCATACCCTTGCCTGTTTGTAAATTCAGCACAGTGGTTAATGAGCCGTGTCTGTAAGATGTAACATGTCATATTTGAAAAAAAATGGCCCATCCGTTTTTTCTTCCTGCTTTGCCTGTTTATGTTATATAGGAGAGCCACGTGCCTTCAAGTCTTCACACCCTTGCCTGTTTGTAAATTCAGCACAGTGGTTAATGAGCCGTTTCTGTAACATGTAACATGAAATATTTGGAAAAAAAAGGCAGTTTTCTCTTCCTGCTTTGCCTGTTTATGTTATAGGAGAGCCACGTGCCTCCAAGTCTTCACAGCCTTGCCTGTTTGTAAATTCAGCACAGTGGTTAATGAGCCGTGTCTGTAAGATGTAAGATGTAATATTTGGAATAAAAACGGCAGTTTTTTCTTCCTGCTTTGCCTGTTTATGTTATAGGAGAGCCACGTGCCTCCAAGTTTTCACACCTGTTTGTAAATTCAGCACAGTGGTTAATGAGCCGTGTCTGTAAGATGTAACATGTAACATTTGAAAAAAATCCGTCAATGTTTTTCTTCTGCTTTTCCTGTTTGTTTATATTATAGAAGGAGAGCCTCGTGCCTTCAAGTAGGAATCATCACTCTCGCTTTTTTGTTAACTTAGCACAGCGCTTAACGATCCGTGTCTGTAACATGCAAGATAATAAAGAGGCACGTTGTATTATGTAGACGCTGAGGCACATTGTCCTAAATAGTGTAAGATGTTATATTGAAATTAAAAGCTCCACGCACGTCACGTGTGCGCCTCCACGCACGGCACGCGTGCGCACGCGTGCGTGTAAGATGTAATATTGGAATGAAAGCTTCACGCGTGCGTGTAAGATGAAATACCGGAATAAAAGCATTGCTCTTAAAAGTTGCTGAATAAAGTATTAGTTTTGAAAGGTGTTGTTCATTTTGGTGTAACGAATTCCCACGGGTGCAGTGTACCTTTTTTGTTGTAATGAATTCCCATGGGTGTAAGAAGCGAAATCCAGAGCGAGTGAATCGTGTGTAGTAAGAGTCGGTGTAGGTAATTGGCTTGTAAGATTTGTTGTAACATTCTGAAATGGGCCATGATTTTCTATGTCCAATATTTGGCCACTACTGTGGCTTACTATTCGGGCCCGTATTGTATACTATCAACATACTGGCCGCCGGTTTGGCTTGTAGCGGCCAGTGTTTGTTTACATGTTTGTCTCTTATATTGAAAGATACTGTGTAACGTGAGTTACGGAGCCTTCTTTTCGGGCCCGTACTGTATAATATCAACATACTGGCCGCCCGTTTGGCTTGTAGCGGTCAGTGTTTGTTTAAATGTTTGTCTGTTATATTAAAAGATACTGTGTATCATGAGTTAAGGGGCTTACTATTCGGGCCAGTATTGTATACTAGCAACATCCTGGCCGCCCGTTTGGCTTGCAGCCGTCAGTTTTGTAAAATAATGATTATCATTGACGTAATGAAAGCACATCCAGCTCAGTCATGTGCCTATACATCATTATACGGTGTACCGGGACGTTTGCTTTGGACAAATCCCATGTTTAGTTTCAAACAGGATACATCTTTATTATATATACACTTACACTAATGGCTGTATGGTAATAGTCTATAGATAAAACAAAATCATACTGACTTTTTTGCGAATTGTTTCCTATTATTCCAAAATGATGAGAATGCAGGCAAAAAAGACAATTTTTGTATTGTATAAGGCGGAGATCTAACAAGCAAACCCTTCCATCAACTTGGTTTCCCTGCGTGCATCAAGGTTTTAGGCTGTTAAAAGTCATGGCAGATGAAAAGTTGACAAAATTTGTCCCGAAACATATCACAAAGTACTCGAATTAATTTTTACTGGTTAACTCACCCCTGAAAGTGAGTGATATGTACGTTTACTCTGCAGCTTGCCTATACCACGGCAGTAACAACAAACAACATAGAGATAAGAATCAGCTTACACGTTGGCACACCTCAGAGACCGCCCATAATATCAGTGTTTGAACATTTTTAGTGTGCACAGAGATCCAGCCGCTCGCGGTAGTATTTACTTCAGTATCCGTCGCTGATACTCCGGTAAGTCCTGTACTAATATTCTTAGGATTCTATACTACATGTAGTTCTGATATTTTTATTTCCCTTATATTGACCTGTTATATGTGCTGACATGATCTCTCTCTATATCTTGCTCTTACCACACCGTATCCAATATTATCGTTGGTAGTTCTTCCCTTCCACCGATACTTATAGTTAACCCTATTGGTATTTTACAATGTTTCTATCCCAGTGATGAAAGTAATGTTTCTTTTCATTTGCATACAGAAAGTGTTTCCAGCATGACAGTGTTTTCATGTTATGACATTCATAGTGCTAAAAGTGTATTCTACGGTCGGTGATGTTACACTGTTTCCATTTTTTTTACAAACAGGTACTATTTAATCTCGGGCGTTTATTCAAACGTCTATTATAAAAGACACAGAGATCATATACACTTCCTAGTATTTTTATGATTACTTGATTTTAATTCTTCAGTATTAAAGTAATGTGACAGCGTTACCGCACAAAAGAGAACACTATATTGTTCCAGGATTCGGCGTAGCAGCCATTAAATTGCTCCCTTTTGAGTCGAGCATTTTGTTTTATCGTTAAGAATTTTCGCATAAAAACTAAGACTAGATCTAATTACCAATATTCTACGTTACTATACCATATTAAACTAGTTAAAGTAGTAACGGTCACGGGTTATTGCTACGTGTACGAGTACTTCGCGACGTGGCTCTTGCGTATCACAACAAACAGAGTAAGTACTGGTGTGAATCAGTTTACACGTCGACACTTCTCAGACACTGCACGAAACGTGGGATTTACCACAAAGGTAACCGTGATGTAAAGACGTGATATCTACCCGCACGGTATAGCTGGTAATGTTTGCCTTATTTCCTATATTTAGGCGGCACCAATTTAATTTGTTCTCGGATTCGCCTCTTGGATTTTTTCTGATTTGAAAAAAAAAATGAAAAAATATATAAAATTCTGGTTCTGTACACTGGACGAAAACCGTTTCCGGGTCGTATAGTCCCGTACACCCGCCTATAAATCCCAAATATACGGACATTTCCAGGTGTGTGCGGCCCGTACACTTTGAGTGTGCGGGCCTGCCACGGGCCTGCCACGGCCCGGATATGCACCACGCAGGTGTCCTTGCCATGTACGGGCCTGCACACACCAACTGTACCTCTGAGTGTGTGTATGAAATATGCATAAATTAGCAGTTATTTTCACCTAATTATCTTCCTTATTATCAGCCCGTGTACGGGTCGTACACACCCGCACACGCCCCCTCCTTCCAATATGCCTTTTGTAATGTAAAGTAGCATCGTGGCCCTTTATTCCCCCTTCTTGTCTGCATAATTTTGTTTTCTTTATTAATTGTACATGGTGCTTTGGCTTTCTGAGTTTTTTAAAACTGTTTTTATTTTGTGCGCGTGCACCCGGTGCGCCTGAAAAATTTCTATTGTGCTTCGGCCGGTCTTTCAGCTCAGCAAGTGAAACAAACTATAGGTCTCTCTTGAACGGTTTTAATATCATTTTCGGAAACCTTCTCCCACACTACCAAAAATGATTTTTCTTGTTTTTCTTGTTTTTCTTAATTCGTGGACAAATTTTCTTACATGAAGAAGTTTCAAGAAAAATTAAGAATAAATAAGAAAAGAGCAACAGATCGTTCTAAAAATTTTTTCTTGTAAATTTTCACTACAAGAAACATTTTCTCATTTTTCTTACGTGAAGAAATAATTTCTAGCAATGATTTTCTCCCCCTAGAATGTTCTAGAAAATTGAGTTAAATGGTCTTGTTTTTCTTGTCTGAAGAATTACTTTCTTGCCATGGATAAGAAATTACAAGAATTTTTCCCTTAAGTTTCTTGTATTTCTCATAGTAAGAAAACAAGAAAAGCAGGGTTTAAAAAACAAGTCATAACTAGAATAACATTCTTGAATTTTCTTGTTTTTCATATCAAGAAACTTTGAGAAAGGAAGTTCTTGCTTTTCTTGGGCTGTGTCAGAAAAAAAAGAATTTTGATCTAACCTTTCTTGAGATATATTGCTTAGAAAAACAAGAATATTCAAGATATTGAAACTAGAAGACAAAGATCAAGTCATAACTAGAATAACATTCTTGAATTTTCTTGTTTTTCATATCAAGAAACTTTGAGAAAGGAAGTTCTTGCTTTTCTTGGGCTGTGTCAGAAAAAAAAAGAATTTTGTTCTTGACTTTCTTGACATATGTTGCTTAGAAGAAAGTGTTTATTGACAGTAAGAATTTTGGTCTTGAACTGAGAACCAAAGTCTCAAAGATTATAGTGGTATATATATTAAGAATTTCTGTCTTGAGGAAAAAGATATGCATTCTTGTTGTAAGAACATGAAACTTAAATAGAAGAAAGGCTTTCTTGACAATAATAATATAATAATTGATAAGTAATATCACTCTTAAAGTTAGAAATGGAATCTTGGTGTAAGAATCAATTTTTGGGGTATTAACAATTTGTTATTGTTTTTTGTAATTTGGAAAGTTGAGCAATCTATTTCTAGATTCTTTTAGTAATGTCAGAGACAAGAATTAGTTTCTTTACTTTCTTGACTTTGAATAATTCTATATTTGTAACTAGCATAGTTTTACTTATCTAGATAGTTCAATAAAATGATTCTTGTTTTTCTTGGTCAGGTTATGTTCAAGAAAATACAAGAATCTGTCTCTTTGCTTTCTTTTTAGACAAAAAAATTGTTGAATTAAAAATCAAATTTAAAACCTGAAAGCAAAAAATACTTAAAGTTCTTTAATGTTTTTGTTTTCCTTATCGAGAAAGTTAAAGAAAGATGATTTTTTTCCCTGGTAATGTTCAAGATAATGTAAGAATTTTTTTCTTAACATTCTAGCCATAACTGTCATGTGATCTCTTGTGAGCTCCTGATTGGTTAATTCAAATCCCAGAATGCAGTTAGGGATTTTTGAACAGAAGCTGGGGTGAAGTAAGATGTGGGGGCAGTGCTCTGTGCTGGTTACTTCTTTTTAGTCAGATATTGATTCATATCGTCGGATTTGAAGTCAAAATCATGGTAAAAAGGACCTTGTGTGCATGTGAAGCAATGGTGATCGTGTCGGCTTGCAGAAGAAACCAACTTTGCAACGAAAAAAGGATGGAACCAAACTTATATAAGGTAAGTGCGCCCCCCTCCCCACCAAGAAGAAAAAATCTGTTGACATTGTTTTTAGACTTCATAGCTTATTTGCTACAATTCCATTGGGGTTGATTTCTAAATTGTATCTCTGGTATATTGTAGAGTACAATGTTTTACTGCATTATAATTATATTATTTTCAATTGTTAAGTAAACTTGAAGTAATTCAATCCTATTTTTAGCATCCTCTTTTGACTTTGTTGTCTTCAGCCCCTGCATGCAATGCAAACTAAGAAAGGTCTTTCCTGTTTTTTTCAGGTCTCCAAAGACTGTGACTGTGCCAATGCTATAATGCCAAAGCTGCAGGGTTTGCTGAATGTTTTGGAATGTGATATGATCTGTATTCTTTAACCATAATGGCTTGTTGGTTACATCGTATGATAGTTTTAAGTTTACTGTAAAACTTGTTTCCATTCAAAGAATGTTAGATACATGTTCATAATGAATGTGGTAATGAATATTCCTATACTGTCAGTGTCAAGAGGCCTGTTAAAAAATTGTTATAGGATTTTAATTGTTGCAATATCATTCTCTGTAACTTTTGTACATTATTTCTTCTTTTGTGGACAAAATAGTTTTATTGATACAAGAATATTGAGCTCTAAGTTCAAGAAATATTTTCTTATGTGCAGAATGTTTTTCTCATTATAAGAATTGTTAGATAGCTCTTAGCTAAAGAAATGTTTTCTTGTATACAGAATGAGGTTCTTGCTACAAGAATAATTATCTCTTAGTTCAAGAAATATTTTCTCATGTGCAGAATGGTTTTCTTACTAGAAGAACAGTTAGCTCTTAGTTCAAGAAATGTTTTCTTGTATACAGCATGATTTTTTTGCTACAAGAATAATTAGCTCTTTGTTAAAGAAATATTTTCTTATGTGCAGAATGGTTTTCTTACTATAAGAACAGTTATCTCTTAGTTCAAGAAATATTTTCTCGCATATAGAATGATTTTCTTGCTACAAGAATAATTAGCTCTTCGTTCAAGAAATCTTTTCTTATGTGCAGAATGGTTTTCTTACTATAAGAACAGTTAGCTCTTAGTTCAAGAAATGTTTTTTCGTATACAGAATGATTTTCTTGCTACAAGAATAATTAGCTCTTTGTTCAAGAAATCTTTTCTTATGTGCAGAATGGTTTTCTTATTATAAGAACTGTTAGCTAGGCTCTTAGTTCAAGAAATGTTTTCTTGTATACAGAAAGATTTTCTTGCTACAAGAATAATTAGCTCTTAGTTCAAGAAATATTTTCTTGTCTACAGAATGGATTTCTTATTACAAGAGCAGTTAGATCTTAGTTCAAGAAATCTTTTCTTATATACAGAATATTTTTCTTATTACAAGAACAGTTAACTCTTAGTTCAAGAAATGTTTTCTTGTCTACAGAATGGTTTTCTTACTACAAGAACAGTTAGCTCTTAGTTCAAGAAATATTTTCTTGTGGGCAGAATGGTTTTCTTGCTATAAGAACAAATAGCTCTTAGTTCAAGAAATATTTTCTTGTGTAACAGTTAGCTCGTCGTTCAAGAAATATTTTCCTGCGAACAAGATAGAGATTCTTCGTGTAAGAACCCGTAATTCTTATCATGAGAAGAATATTCTTAAGTGTGGGTTTATTAGCTGTAAGAAATAAATTCTGAGAATAAGAACAACGTGGCGTGAGTTTCTTGAATTTTCTGGAAACGGGGATTCTTGTTCAAAGAATAAGGTTCTTGCTGACAGTAAAAAGTTCTTTGCACAAGAAAAATTCTTCTTTTAGTGCAATGCAAGAACATAAATCTTAATCTATTTCTAGGTATCAAGAATTTTGGTCTTGACAGAAGAAATATATTCTGGG